CTGCCAAACAAATAATTCCTTAAACAACCACTGATCAAAATACTACATTTGGTTTAACACAGTAAACTCTGACCAGCACATTTTGCACCGACAAATGTAAAACCAATGCCGACATTTATTTCTAAAGCAAGACAAACTGACATATTGAGATTCTCAGCTCATTAGACCTCTATTTAACTCTTCATCTGAAAACAATGACATGATGGACAAGCAAGTTGATAATCCCAGCAAGACTGGGGACCATTGGGAGCTCCAATGTCAGCAAGCTTCTCTCATGTGTGAACTCATTTGTAAAATGCATTGCATTGACATTTCAGCTGAAAAGCTCTACAATAGTCTGTGTGGCATTCTCACCCAAACTGTCTAGAGGGCAGCAGGTTGTTCTGCCACTTCTCCAGGTCCTTGAGCTGGAGATCAAAACGAGGACTGATCACACCACACTGAAAAATTAAGAAAACACTGGTTAGCATTCAAAATATACAAAAATAGATACGCAGCCTCTGCTTGAACACTATTACATGTACCATCTGAGATAACTTTGATATTAATAAAACACTTTCTTCTGGTGGCAAAGCAATCCTGCAGTTTGGCTTCCTGTGATGTATAACTTTGGTCAACATGCTCTCTTGTGTGACTGCACCCTAACTCAGTAGACCTGGGGACACCAAGGCCAGAAGCTGTAACAAGCTCTTTACCAATGTACATCACAGTCACCATAAGGTCAACATAGCCATCTCAGGCATGTAGGAAGCAAGTGTTAATTTAAATAGTAAGAGTGTGGAAATCAAAGGTAGAGCCAGAGACGAGACTTTACCTTGTTCAGTCTGCCTGTGAGATTGACGACAATTTTTCCAGCTCGGTGATCGTCAATGATCTCAAACTCACCAATGTAACCTGTGGGTGAACGACATCAACATTAGATAAACAGACTTTTGCCTTAATTAAGGCACTTTCAGCTAGTGACATGCTGACCCATGTGCCACTATACTGTAGCCACACTATTAACATGTTTCACACACAATCAAACAAGTGGCAGCGACTCACCGTGCTTCATCATGACGGTGAGGAAGCGCACAATAACCTTGGAGCAGGGCCTGATGAGGACCTGGCGTTTCCCACGCTTCTCAGCATTGTTGATGCATTTCAGAGCATCCGCGAGAACGTTCATGCGCACCATGATGCCTGTGGACAGAGAAGAGACAGAGACTTGGTTTGAGAAAGTGTGATCTGACTTCACATCAGCTCTCCCTGTGCACCCACACCTCCTGACAGCAGATTACAAACTGAAGAAGAATTTAAGTAAGTCTGTGTCATCACATTACTAAATAATAGTCCTAACACATCAAGTACACACAATTACAGCAGAGTGGGACCAACATAAACCCACCATTAACGACAAAGAGTATATAAAGTAGTGGCACATCACGTTCAGTTAGCACAGCCTGGCTAGCACTTAGCAAGTAGCGACGCTTTTATATATTACGAATGAACAATAGCACCTTGGCTAAACTGAATTGGACAGGTTAGTGAACATTGTGCTGACACCGGCGGATATTTAACACACAGCGGGCAGCGCTGCTTCAAACTCGGTCCCGGTGAATAAATCAAACGAGACTCCCCACAGCATGGTCCTTCATGAGCACAGCGGCTAGCTAGCCTCAACGACTCCAACAGCACAGTGGAGCTCCACACTTGCACAGTGAGCACACAGTGAGCACACAGCGGGCAGAGAACCTCGTGTGTTGCGCTCAGACAAAAACACGCCATACAGGTAGGTTCCTCTGAAGTGAATTAGCGGAGAAGACGTGTGGTCGCTAAGCTAACAGCTCACTGCGGGCGCATTGAACGCACAGACTCCCAGGGCCGGACACAGCGACTGAGAGGAACTTTGAAGCCCGACTGTGATTCTCTACTTTCACAGATCGAGACAATAATCATCTCAAATCATCCATCTGCTCTTTCGCTACACCGTGATCACATCGATTGGTTATTTAACCTTCAGATGCTTCAGATACGTAGAAGATTGGAGGTGACGGTGAAGAAAGACATCTTACCGGTTCTGCAATATGGCGGAAAGAGGAAGTAGAAAAACGCCGCAATGCAATATGGGAAAAAAATCGAAGATGTAGTCAAGCGAAGATGAGCCACACGGTTGCGAAAATAATGTCTCGTATAGAGTCCCAGTTGCAGTGGTGGGATGTAACTAATTACATTTATTTAGTTACTGTACTTATGTACTTAAGTACATTTATTTTCAGGTAATTTTCACTTTACTCCACTACAAATATAGTGTATATATATAATATAATTTATAATATCTGTTGTTTACAATGTATTGAGTTACATGTTGACATTTATTATATGACTCAGGTGATTATGATTTATGATCTTTTTTATAAACTTTCTTATAAACACTGATCCAATCATAGCAGGAAGATAAAGTCTCCAGAAACACCTTAGATATTAGATTGCATTTCATTGAGCTGATGCTTTTATCCAAAGAGACTTACAATAAGTGCATCAACCATGAGGGAACAAACCCAGAACAACAAGAAAGTACAATTTGCTTTTAAAAAAAGCCAAACTACAAAGTGCTACAATGTAGGTGCCATATAAGTGCAACAATATATATTTATTATGTTATTAGACATCTTCTTCACCAAGGTGTAGTCTGAAGGTTTGGATAGATTTGGCCTTTTCATTATGGGCTACAATCAGGAAATACTTATTAATACTATAGTGATATTATGGTACAATAGTATATTTAAAAGCAAATGCATTTAATAAAGCAGAAAAGTTAATGTGGTACATTTACTCGAGAACATTTTTGTGTATTTATTTGTACTTTTACTTAAGTGAAATGTTTGAGTACTTTCTCCACTACATGTAATGAAATAATGAAAAACGATACAGAGATGATTTGTATATTATTATCTTCAGTAACATGGCTTGTGGCCTGGAAATATATTTGTTGATTTAATCCGAGAGGGTTTATTGCGTGTACTTTGATACATGTCTAGCGGAATACTCTGACTCAACCAGATGCACACTACAGGCAGGATCTTCAGTAAACATGAGGCAATTTAAAGCAGGACTGAGGATGAGTAAAACTGCATCAATTTCTAACCATTCTGATGCAATTGGCTCAGCCATAAATATTTGGTGGATTTGTTAAAAACCAAAACAAAAGAAAGACTTTTTTAGCCTCATATGCGCATTCCTGACGAGGGTAATGTGGCTTGGTGCGAGCAATCACTGTTCACATTTGCTGAAGGCGCACATTACATGCAGCATTTGGAAAGCAAGGTAATTTTCAGCATAATCAACAACAAAGCCCAGACTTAAGTGTTTATGTAACGCATTTTAGAGCAACAACAGGAGGATATGACCAGTGTGGTTTGGGCGTGAAGGAAGGTGGGCAAGGTGTGTTTCATGAGATGAGTTGTTAATTGTAGATTAGGGCTGTGCACACAACACAGTTTCTGCACAGCCCTGGCTCAGTAAACAGAAGAGGTCATGCAACATCATTTGATTTAAGTTGGCATGAAACATCTCACAACTTATCTCTGTTGTTTCTGCTGCTCTCAGATTTACATGAATGGCTCTTAGAGACATGATGATCCCAGTGGAGCCTGTACGTTTGTGTAATCTTAAAGACATACTTGTGTCTTTTCACACACAGACAACAACATATAATTATATTTAAGAATTAAATGCCAAGTCTTTTATTTCCTTCATATAGTTCAATTAAAAACAAACTTCACAAGCTCATCATTGTTTTATAATTGAAAAACCAGACAACCAGACTTGGGTGAAGCATGAACAAAAAATGCAGACTTCACATTATTAGGGCTAGTTAATATTTTATTCTCTGTTTCAACATGTGCAACAATTCAGTCTGATACTTATTACCAGCAGGTACATTCTAGTCAAATCCTTATCATTTGATATCATATGATTATAATACAGTACCTAGAAGAAATTAAAACAAACAGTTACAGTAACATCTGCAAATGTTTGGTAAAAGTAGCATGACATTGTGAAAAAAGTTGGATTTAAATGTTGTCCATAAAGATATTTGCAATACAAAGTCTGTATTATGTCTTTGCACATCACTGGATACACATGATCCCAACAGTGGGGTGGTGAAAAACCACGGTTGTTGTCTTTTTTTGTTTTTTTTTATTTTGTAAGTAAATAAGTTAAATGGAAGAATATATATATTATGTTTTACTGTATTTATGTTTTGTATATTTTCTATACATGAGAAGAAATGATGTCTCTAGTAGGACAGAGATGATCTCCCACCAATATCAATTATCACACAGCATACATACAACTCACTGTCCTTTAATGTGTGCAAAAACTTGTATCAGTGTGAGTGCACTTTTGGAGTGCTCTGATTTGTGTTGTGTGAGAATCAGAATCATCCCATCCTAAATAATTACAATCATATGAAAAGTATGACCATTGGGTACAAAGATAATAAATTAACCTATATCTAAAGCAAATTTAAATATTAACAACTGCAGTATATGATGTACGCATGTTTCTTTCTACGAGTCCTGTCCAAGCAACATGTTTGTGCCTCTGGCTTCTTGCAGGAGCCTCTTTCTCAACTCTACTACCATGCTCTGAAGTTGAATTTTCATGTTGAGTGATCAGGATGACAGTGAGCTGTAGATGGTGGAGTATGTCCAGCCACCTGCTAAAATCTAAAGCTTTCCCCACACTACAAGTGACACACCTTTAGATTAGGCCTAAAGCTCTTTCCTCCGGTGTCCAGTAGAGGGGGAGCCAAACCACTCACACCCAGAAACAGTGACATACCCACCAGCCACCAATTTAACAGACACATGGAGCATAATGGAATGCTGAGCAGCACAAGACGTAGTAACCAGATTTCTGTACTATTTCTATGGTTACATTTAAATTTCAAAACATTTTTCTCTGTTAAGCCTTTGTCTTGCTTTCTCTGTAGCTGCTTTCCATTCATACACTTAGCCACCGTTGCTGACCATGCTGGCAAGAGAATCTTCATCTCCCTGGGGATCCAAGCCCAGCCTCTGGAGGTCAAGGCCCATGGCTACTAGCATCTGGAGCAGGGTAAGCTCCTGCTGGGTGGCCTGGTCCACCAAGGCCGGGCAGGTGGGGTTGCACTGGGGCCACTGGCAGGTGTCGACCAGGTGGAAAGGACAACCTTTGGCTGGAGTCCTGTTGTTGCGCGTTGCCTCCAGGCTCCTGTCCCAGCAGTGCAGGGCCCGTGGCAGAGAAGTACCTCTGACTTGGAAAGTCATCCAGTTACTGGAGGAACAACAAGACAGATATGTCAGGGGTGAGAAATAAAGAGTGAGAGGCTAGCAGAGGTTAGCAGAAAGGAAAAGACTAGACAGGAAAGTGTAATCAGCCATGGTCTGATCTCAAGATTTGAAATTTGTTTTGGACATTGGTTGTCTCATTGTCTGGGTGCAACAAGTGTTACATCATCACAGCAGAGTCACTGCACAAACACCAATTATAATTTGGTCTGATGTAAATGTAGCTGAGACTGCCCTGACCTATCGTTGTCCATGTGTGCAGGAAAAGAATGAGTGTGTTCAGGGGTGCTACCGAGGGGTTAGGGAAAGTGTGAAATAGCATTTGGTGACATGAAGAATGTGGCATGATGAACGAGTGAGCAGAAACAGCAGCATAAGCTCAGTAGTTAAAGATGGCTACTGGAATAGATGAGAGTGAACAGGGGATGGCAAGAGAGTGTATTATAGCCTCATGAGTCACATGGTCGTTCTTACCTTTTAGTCAGCACTGTGTGGGAGAGGCAAGATGGAGCAAATACAGCCCTGAAAAACAAAAAAAGAATACTGTGATGTCTAAGCTTAGGTCCATTAACCATCTGGGGCATATTAGATCTAGTGTTATCATTACATGTTGCTTTTCCAAAGAAGTTGTTGGGAACTCACGTGACATCTCTTAGGGAGTTTGTGAGCTCTCTGCCCAGGTTCTGTATGTACTGCCACTGCTCCACAGACAGACTCTGTCCTCCCATGTAGATGTTCTCGACCCTCAGTTGCTCCTCATCGAACAGCCACTGCACAACAAACAGAGGGGCTACAGGGAACAAGAGTTCAACATTAAAGCTGTTTTGATCGATATAATGATTAATCAGATGTGTTGCTGTGAGCAATCGCTTGTCGTGACGGACTCGCAGAGTTATCACTCAATCACTCCGCGGTTCCCCCCTGCTCTACAATGTTTCATAGCTTGTTTTAGATCATTCTTTAAGTTTTAAAAGCCTGTGAATTTACTGTTTCAGTTCAGTCTGACAGCTCTCATTAACATTTTCCTTAAGGCACCTGCTCAAAACATCAGACAGACAAAGTCCGAGACTATCTGGCGAATAAAGTAAAGAATTTGTAACATAAGTTTGTCACAGTTGTCACATCTTGGAAATTTCAGAAAGATGTGGCTTCCGTTTTTTATTGTTTATCCAGGTGTTTTTGCCTGGATGGAGTCTGGAGTCTGTGATCTTGTCAAAGTCACCATATTTTCATAGTAATAGTGCACAAGTCAGTTATATTGCATGTTAATCCAACATCAAGATAAACTTTGGTACCAACCAGCACTCACAGGTCAAGGTAGAGTAGAGTTTGTGTCCAAAGAAGCACTGCCACTCTTCTCCTCTCTTGTAGAGCTGCCGACATCTCTCAGGCACAACCCCATTCCACAACCTGAAAAAACCCCGACACACTGCTTACAGACTTACACTTTTAAACCTAAACACCAAATCTGTACTGCCTGCCAGAGGAATGCACATCTTCACCTGAGTCCGATCTTGATGGCATCTTCAGGTGAGCAGGAGACAGTCTCGGGACAGTTAGGTGATCTCTGCTGCTTACTCTCTAAAAACCAGCCAGAGTCCACCAGGCCTCGGACCTGAGCCTCTGCACCGAGCAGCTCCAGCTGACTGGCCACTCTCTCGATGTTCAGCAAAACACCTGTCCCGCCAGCACTTCAGGGGAGCCAAAAACATCAATAAATAGTTTGGCTTTGAGAGACATGTTTATGTTAGAGGTGTCAAAATGACAGTGCATACCAGCTGACAGCAAGGAAGTGAAAATTTAGCAGTCAGTGGATTTAGTTTTAGGGCCTGGGGGTGTCCTAACAACCATGTTGCTAACCTGGGAGGTATGTCCACCATTACAGGGCACGGCCCTTTAATAGACATTATGTCATTATTCACAGTTGACTGCAAACATCTTTATTGTTGACAAGAGGATGCACCCAAAATAGGGCTTCTCTAGTTTAATGTTAGACATGGAGATGGTCCAGATGGGACAGAGGATGCAGGCTCTTGTCCAAAAGCTACGGTCAGTGTCAGAGCATGAGCGATAACACTCACTCACCTTGTGCCAGACAGCATTACAACCTTGGCCTGCTTGATTCCTTTGGGGATGAGGTCTTTGATGACCTCTCGGATGATCAGGGATCCCATGAAGGTGTACTCAGCTGATAACAACAGAGTAACAACATTACAGTTCGAAAGCAACACAACAAACAGTTAAATCAAGCGTGTCGTAAATCTTTGATGGAGGAACCTCATTGACAATGGTAAGCGTACTGCATTTGCATTACCCATTCGCTCAGCACACATGTTATGCATACAGTGCTTCACTAATATTCACATTCACATGAGTCACTGGAGGAGTTAGGAGAACCACTGAGCCGATGATTAGTGGACTTGAAGGGTCTAAAGGAACTTACTTGTGTTTGCATTTTGCTCTCTTTCTTTCTCTCTTCCTTGTCGTGGCCGGGGCGGAGGGGTTGGAGACGGACCAGTTCCACTCCATACATCACTGGAACAGTATGGGATGAATCTGCAATAATGGAGACAATCATATCTGGTAGACCATAGCTTGAGGCCATCAAAAAAACTATCTCCTCTGCAAAAATCCACTTTGGCAGCACATAGCCTCTTCCATCACTTTTCTGCATAAACCACTTTTAGATGCTGGTCACATCAAAACAAGTGAAGCTGAAGCAGCCCAGTGAGTGCAGTGAATTAAATGAGGATGCATTTTATTGCTAATGAAGTCATCTTTTCATTTGTAAGTTATTTCTTCCAAAAGTGAAATAGTCTGACTTTATGCTCAACATTAAAGTAAATTCGTTTCGAAATATTGGTGTGTAAATTGATGGTATTTACAAAAATCTTTTGAATCTGTTTGGAAGATTGCCTGTGCTGGTAGTCACGACACACAGGCAGGGGCCACAGTGTAATCTTGTGGGGGAACTGTTTTTTGTAGTTTGTTGTACTGTTCTGCAGCTGCTGTAGCACTTTGGATCGAGAAGCATTTCGCCATGGGGACAATAAATTATATTTGACTTGATGTGATTTGAACTGCAACAGTTCATAAAAGGTCCATACGAGGCTTGAATTATTATACTGGGTCTTTGCCAAGAGTCTGACAATACTACACATTACTTCTCACTCAACGAGAAGTCTCACTCTGAACCATGCAGAAGCTAGTTGTCTCAGAAAGCTACATTATCACAACCTCCACCACTGTCGCCATGTTTGTTTTTGTCAGAAACTGATGACTCTGCACTGCCCTCTAGTGAATGTTTTTCTCTGCAACCATGCGAATGTAAAGGACACATTGGAATTTGTGGACAGTGACTGATACATTGTTTGATAAACATTTTTATATCAACAAGATGAAAAAGGGGACACTCAGAGATAAAACCATCACGTTATTACAGAGTCATCACATTGTAACTTTGTGGGGCATTTTGTTCCAGTCTCCACAACTGCCCAAAACTTTTTGGAAAACACCAGGCAGAAGTTTCTTGTAGCTTTTGTCAGCTATCAGATTATATTTTAATGACTACAGAATTTTGAACATGTAACAAATAACTGCCCTCACAGAGTTAGCCACAATAAGACACACAGTGAGGACAGGTACTTACATGATGTTTGCATTATGCCAGTGAGGGTTTTCTTCTGCTTGGGAAGAAAGTATTCCAGTTCCTGTAAATCCAGCAATCAGATATCAGACATGTCCGTTTGTCTCACTACAGATCACATAAAGAAAGCAACACTATGGGAACACGTAAGACAGCTTTTTAAAACATGGCCGCTTGACCTACCTCTTTTTGTTTGGGGCCACCCTGATGAGCTCATTAGTCGTGGGATATTTTGGTACCTGGAATCACAGGTCTCTCTGCTGTAGCAGCACCAGCCACCTAAAAATAATAGAGACTAATATTAGACTGTCACCTCCTGCACAGCAAGGGAGACCCTTGTTAGCCAATGATAGAGGCCTGTGAGGAATGGAGAGGGAAAGCAATGAACTTGAGCCTGTTATGTTAATGTGGCTGTACTGTACTTTCACTCACAGTTGTTCCAAAAAAGACGAATCATTCCTTTAATTTAAGAAATGTCTGAACCTGATTTGTTGACTAAATTCTAAAATCTTTTCATGTCAGCCAGGTTGAATGTTTGTGGCTTTTGGGAACTCCCACAGGAGTCAATCAGGAGAACTATCCACAAAAATGTACACTAACCTAAATCTGTCATAATGACAGGTGACAACCAAAAAAGGAGAAAAATAGAAGATGAAAGGCCAAGATGACATCCCCATCAAAATTCCAATGGGGGTGTCACGCCAAAACAAGCTGACCTTTGGGGACCAAAATTAACCAGTTGGGTTCTTAAATACTCACCTTCCAGAAATAACAGCCATCGGCGGCTTCCTCTGAACTCCTTTAGGTAAAACCTGTAGAACCACAAATAATCAGGAATGAGGAGATGGTGACGATAAATCATCCATGACACAATGATGCTCTGTGTAGCTGATATCACTATATTCATCAGATGGCAACTAAATACAATCAAATTCTTCAAATTAAAGAGTTTCAGGAAAACAAGTTAGAGAAAACATGAGACCAATCTCACCCAGCTGATGTTCCATCATTACATGTGACTTGGGTGTTCTTGAGGAAGTGCAGCCTCATATCATTTGTCTGCTGTCCAGCTGCTCGAGCCCCTGCAGCACTCTCCCGTCCGGCTTCAGCCATGCCTCCAGTGCTTCTTGTGCCTCCAGTACCTCCAGTACCTCCTGTGCCTCTCGTACTTCCAGTGGTTCCAGTACTGCCAGTACCTCCACTGCCTCCAGTACCTCCAGTACCTCCAGTGGCCTCTGTGCTTCCAGGAGTCAGTTCGACGACAGGGGCTGACTGGCCAACATCACCTCCTTGGTTCCCACCAGACTTCTTGGTGGACTTGCCACTAGCTTTAGCATTACGGTTGTTCTGACACCAGATTCCCCCAAGCAGAAGCAAGAAAGCAATCTGGCCCAATATCTTCATATCTTTGGCAACACAAGAAAAAAGATACACTCATCTATTGCTTGCTCATAATCTGGATTCACATGCACAGGCCACAAAATATTCTTCATTTTTTATTCTCATCACATAAAAAAGTCCATCACTTTGTGACCTAAAAATAAACTTACCTCTTAAAGAAGATTCAGCCTTGAAGATTGTTTCTGTGGCACCTCTGAGGTCAGGTAGATAACTGGAGCTGCAGAGGAATGAGTGAAAAGTTCAGAGCGCAGTGTCCAGGTGTGAGAGGAGGATGCCCGTCATATGAAGTGATGAAGACTTGACCAGTTTTGATGAAGCCTGCAAATCAGTGGTGAGCTTTATAGTGTCACCATATGGATCAGATTTCCTCCTGTTTTCTCATGCAGCTCCTGCCAGGGGCTGAGATAACTGCTGACGACACACCGCAAGGGGAGGTACTGGACAGCCAGTGGTGAGGAGAAAAGATAACACACGCATCTCTTCAACATATTTCAAGTCATTGCACACACCCACCACCCAGCACTTTCCCATCTGACCATGGCTCTCCTTCCCCCCAATCCCCACTGCTCTTCTCCCTCCCACCTTACACCTCTGATCGGCAGTATTTTGATTTAAACATCTACATGTTCATCACAAGTGCACAGCCCCTCTGTGTGTTATTTGACCCAGAGGTCATTGGAGTACACACCTCATACACTTTCCGATACTGGAATGAATAGCACCACAAGGTAAACAATTGGACACTCATATGGTGCAGGTGAGGGACCAAGCACATTATGCATGTTTTCAAACTTTCTTAAAAAGTCTCAATATTATCAGCAACATTAACAGAGAATTTCCACAACAACAGCTCCTCCATAACAGCTGTCATACTTTGTGTTAATGTATAGAAGAACAATCATTGCATGACAAGTACAGGGGTTATACTATATCTAGATTATACTATTTTATATTTGTCACTGAATGTTTTATATGTCACTTATACAAATACTTTCGAAGCAGGATTGTTAGAGCAGCAGATGCAACATGTTCTGCAACCTCCACTCTTAGATTCTTAGATCCGATTTATCATTCTAGTCTCAGGTTCATCACTAGAGATGACTTTTCCAGATTGTGAGTTGCAACATGACAATAAGTGGTTCAGACAGATTTGAAAAAAAAAACATTTCTATCCACCATTAAGGTGCCATGCAGTGTGTAAAGTTTCTACAGTTGCTTCCTCTTACAGGTTGTCTCTGCAGACTCCTGGATGGCAGGTTAGGTAAGTTTGCCTTTGGTGAAGAAAGAAGCAGAGTATTTGAAACTGATCTGTGACGGTCCCCCTGGGATGGTTGTAGGGTGACATACCGCTGATCCCTGAAAGATCACGAGCCTCAGGGCTCTAAAGTTCTCATCGATGAAATGCACACCATCCCGACATGTCAACAATAATGATCACTAGGGAGGCCAGAGGCTGCACAGGGCTTTATCGGGCTGCTGGGACTGAAAGGACTGCAGGGTGGCAGGAGGTCTGAGGATGACTTAAGCACAGAATAAAAGAATAATTGCATTATAGCAAAGACAATATAGCTTCAATTCACATTCCCTTCAGAAGACTAGACACACTGACAATAGCAGATTTACTCAACATTCATACTTGAAATATGAAACACATGAAGGGCTGTGCAACAGTTTAAATTTTAAGGCACATATAAAACATTATGATTAGGTCAAAGGTGGATTGTAATATGGGTTGCAGAATAGCTGTATTTATTCTGGTTGTGTTGAGGATTACTAGTATTGTTTAGCAAAAATCAACCAGTATGTTGTCTGCAAAAATCACATAACCATTTGAAGACTTAAATAAGGCAGACAGATTTATCAAGGTTTGTCTCGTTGCTTTGGCAGGGTGAAAATGGTATTTTGTCCATTTTTCAAGCATTTCATGCTATTTTAGCTACTTTCAACTATGGCCAGAAAGAAAACAAAGCTACTCAAAAATATGTGTTTGAGATCGTATGCACCTACGTGCAATAAAAATGTACCCTAAGGACATCACTATACTGAATTTGATCTACCGAGCTGAACAATTTTTCATTCCTCCATTTGTCTTGAGGCATGCACACCACCATCTGTCTTCCCAGAAATCAATGCAACAATCTGTTTAACAGATACCTCAAATAGCTGAAAAACGAAAGAAGTTGCTGTAAATCTATCACTGTTTCGCCAGAATGTCACGAACAGACAGATGGCATTACTGCTATTTTGTTTTTCTTTGATATGGGATTGGACAGAATGATACGTTTTTCAGAGCAGGCTTCAGATCAATGGATTAAAGTGAATTTGTTCTCTGCACCTCCAGTGATTCAACTCCGAGAGCCTACACTGGGGCAAACACTGTCCCCACCAGCATCTACAGACGCGTTCACACACAAAATGTCTGGAGTCTATTACTTTTGAAAACATTTTACACCCATATAAGGCTCAGGAGGCATGTTGAACTTCACCCTGACAGAGGCAACAGCTTGACCCCTTGTGCACCATAGGAGGTATTCTTTCTCTCTCTTGTGTTGTTATTTTTCAAAGCCAACCTCCAAGGTCAGGACACCTAAAGCCCGGGTGGTCTGAGCACTTTGTCTGCTGAGCATGTGTGTCATCACCAGCCTCAATATCTGAGGGCCCCAGCCGTGAGCTTCAAAGAACAACGATCCAGAGGCAGCAGTCATATGCTGGATTGTTATGTCCGCATCACAGTGCAGAAAGGTTGTGACTTACACGTAATAGCTCAACATGAACAACAGATTGAAACCATAGAGTGGTGAATTCAACAAACTCCTACTTTAATGCAATTGAAAACAAAGATGTTGTATGTGTAAAACAACAAAACCTTTAAATAAAGTCATGGTCCATCCCAATCATGCCTTGCAGCTCTTTTTTCCGTGTTGCGTGTAATGTGACAATCTGCAACAGCATCACTCTGAATCTATGTTGTCACCAGCATTGAAGGGCATAGCTGGGGAAAGAGGCCCATGATTAATAGACGATAAGAGTGGCATTTGGACAAGTCACAAAAAATGGGCCTCAGGTGAGAGATATGAGACCTGGTCAGAGCTAACTGCCAGAGCTCGCCATTCAATCCGTGTGGACGACAGATGGGGTCTTAGCGGGATCGGTGTAAAGTGCTGAGCCACTGCGGGAAGAGAGCAGGAGGGGTGGGCAAAACTATCCCCTCAACCAGGTGTTAAGAGGTCTTGCGTGGAAACCTTTTGCAAACTATGGATGCATCAAAGTGATGAATGGAGGGATGGCAGGGGATTCAAGGTGTTGGATTCAGGAGAGCTGTCAGGGAGTGATCTCACAGCCATAGATAAGGATAGGTGACAAGTGATAATGTTTCGAATACTACGAGTAGCTGCATCTCCTGTCACAACTAACTATGTGTTCTGTCCACCTTACTATCGAGCCAAATGCATCTTCATCTTAGTAAAATGTATTCAGCCTCGAATATGGATGCCACAACTGCAATCCTAAACAGCCAAAGATGAGCAAATGACAATTATTGACATAAAAGTATGACATCACAGTCAGTTTGTTTTCACAAATGAGTACAAATGAACCAAATATCAGGTTTTGCACCTTACATATAGTTGTGTTTTGTGATAAATTCTTTAGGTTTCAAAAAGTGGCTTACTTCATCGGATTTGGAAATGTATTTTCTCCTAATAGGCAACTTTGCACTTACTTTTGTGTGGTCATTTTTCTGTGCACCACCTGTTTTGAAGTGGGGGGGCATACTATGCTTGAGTGAACAGTTCAAAGTGTCTTTTGGGCTCATGACACAGTGGAGCAGCAACGTGGCCTTGGAGTCATTCTGGATGAACCACCAGGCCTGTCAGAACAGTGATGTATACCACTGGAGGGGTCACACCATGCTCATCTATGGCACGCATCAATAGGTCCTTCACATAGTAAGCAGTAAGCCCTACATATGCACCTTCTGATAAGAGATACACACTGTGTAGGATCTTTGTAAAAAATGAAGTTCATGCCCTAAAAAGAAATCTGATTGCCAACCAAATAAGATAGCTATGATCTGAGAGGACCATAGACCTTAAAGACCTGTCTGACAGCAAAGCTAGCAACTCTGTGAGGATTTGCTTTGAGCCGAAACTAATGTCACCATGCTAACATGCCAATGTTAAGCAGGTATGATGTTGACAATGTTCACTATCTTAGTTTAGGCTGTTTAAAGGTATCAGGCCCCAAAAAGTGCTGGACAAATTCAAACTGTATCTTGATGGTGGCACTAACTCAAAGGGGAATACCGATGTCTTTGGAATTCATCCAATGGGGACCATGAACATCTATATAAACTTCCATGAGGACGGGCAACAAAAAACACATACACATACTAAGGCATTTTTCAATCAATCAAATTTTATTTGTATAGCCCATATTCACAAATCATAATTTGTAGTATAGGGCTTAACAAGCAGTGACACCCTCTGTCCTTAACCCTCAACAAGAGTGAGATATAAACTGCCAATAAACCCTATTAACGGGGAGAAATCTCAGAGAGAGCCACATGTGAGGGATCCCTCTCCCAGGACAGACAGAAGTGCAATAGATGCAATAGATGTAGCTGTGAATTTTACAAAATTGATGAGAACAAACAGTTTTTACCACAATAGAAAAGTATGTCAGTGTTTAAAGTATTTATACATACCAAAATACCTCATGCAATGACAAATACATCTACATTTAATAACGAGAGCATGTCCTCTTCCGATTAATCCTGTAGTGGTGTGTGATGTTACAGATACTAACAGAAAGGTTGGCTATTTTTTTTCACTGGCCAAAAACACCTACTAACATCTGGCTTTTGTCTGCAAAGAGAATTAATACAATCAGCGTCGAAGAAGCCTGACCTTGGTGTGTTGTTTTTTCTTTCCCCAGAGCGGGTTGGTGGATGGCACTATGTGACAAGCTGTAAATCACAGATTCCAGCCGAAGTGATGTCAGCT